TGCTGCTCAGGTAATGGACGCGAGGAAGCTGGGGTCCAGTGTGGCGGTGCCGCTGTTTTACCGCCCGGGGCTTTCAGTGCAGCGGAGGGGCCGCGCGGTGCTGCCTCTTTGCTTCGAGCTGCGGGACCTCATCAGGACGTGGGCAGCAGCCAGCAGCAGCAGCAGCAGCAGCAGCAGCAGCGAGGGCGGGAGTGGCAGCAGCAGCGGCGAGGACGGGCAAGTGATGGTGCTGGACTTGCTGGATTTGTTGCTACGAGCAGCACTGCAGCAGCAGGTAAGCGCTCCCACACTTACGGTAGCCCTTGGAACAGCAGCTGCAGGAATTTGCTGCTGCTGCTGCTGCTGCTGTTGCTTAGTCTTCTTCCTAGACTGCGTCCCCCGTTTTCACGCAGGCGAGCCCCACGAGGACAGATTCGGCACTAGCGCAGCAACGGCAGCAGCAGCAGCAGCAGCAACAGCAGCAGGAGAGCTTGGCCGAGCTTATTGACTCCGGCCTGTGGGGCCTCGTGCCCAGCTCTGAGGCGCTGCAGCAAGTGCAGATGATGAGGGCCAGAGGAGTCAGAAAGGCCCAGCTGCACTTGAGTCCAGACGACTAGTGCAGCAGCAGCAGCAACAGCAGCAGCAGCAGCAGCAACGCAGACAGTGGCAGACACTGGCAGCTGTGGCGGCGGCTGCAGCCGACGCAGGGCGAAGCAGCACGCCCGGACCCGCGAGAGCTCGCTAGCAGTTCGTGACGCGGGAAGCTGCAGCAGCAGCTGCAGCAGCAGCTGCAGCAGCAGCTGCAGCAGCAGCTGCAGCAGCAGCTGCAGCAGCAGCTGCAGCAGCAGACGCAAGAAGAAGCCGCAGCGGCGCCTGAGCGGCGGCAGCAGCAGTACCTGCTGCTGCTGCTGCTGTTGCTGCTTCGCACTGCGCCAAAGGGCGCTCGGGGGCTGCCGAGCCGCCAAATGGCGCAGTTTGCATGCAGAAGTTTTGTTGATTTTGTTTTGATTGTAAAGAAAACCGAAAAATTCAGTTTTCTCCGTTTAAGGCGTTGGCGGCGGCGCTGCAGATGCGCAGCGCCGCGCTGCTGCCGCTGTGGCTGCTGCTGCTGCTGCCGCTGCTGCTCATTTAGGAACAACTAAAGAAGCACAGCTGGAAATATAGCGTGAAAGAATCCTAGAAACGAGACTATTAGTTATTTTCTGTTTGTTCTCGTTGAGCTCGGGTCACTCGCGGCGGGAGGCACGGAGGCCCCACGGCGCTTCAGGTGTACATACAGCTGAGAGCAGCGCCTGCCCGTCTTCCCCTCCTCATCTGTTCATCGCATCATTTGTTTTTATCTTTTGGAACTTGTGGCTTCCTTAAAGACAGGAAAGGTCCTGCGGCGCCGTCTGCTGCGAGCCGCTCCAGGCTGCAGGGGCCCCCGGCTAAACCGTAAACCCTAGCCCGCAGAGACCCTCGACTATGACTTCTTTGGAGGCCCTAATAGCTCAAAACTTCCTCGATGAAGGAGAGGACCCCCCGAGTGGGCCTCTGGGGGCCCTAAACCCTTCTTACAGAGAAGAAAGCAGTTCAAAAGACCCTCAGGACGGGGCCTCGTGGGCTGCGGCCGCTGCACTGGGGGGGGCCCCCCGGGGGCCCCCCCAGTGGGGCCCCCAGGGCAGCAGCCAAACTTCGCCTCTTGCCTTTCCAGTCCCTAAGCCTAAGCAGAAGCCTCCCCAGGACAGCCCTGCAGCAGCAGCCTCCCCAGCAGCAGCAGCAGCAACAGCAGCACCAGCAGCAGCGAAGCCGGGAGAACACGCAGAGGCACCTGCTGCAGCTGCAGCAGCATCCCCTGCCTCCCCAGCAGCAGCAGCAGCAGCAGCAGCAGTGGGGCCAGATGGGGTGCCGGTGGTGAAGTACGGGCCTCTCTTTGACTTCTCCGAATCTGCAAAGGATGACTGGGTGGCAGTGAGGAATCTGCCAAAAGCCAAGAAGAATCAAGAAAGGGGGCCCTCCGAGGGGGCCCCCGGGGGCCCCGAGGGCCCGGGGGGGAGCAGCAGTAGCAGCAGCAGCAGCAGCAGCATAGACGAGGAGCGCAGCCGCAGATTGGCTCTGCTGCAGGCCCTGCCGAAGCCCCAGAGGTCCCTCGTGGGGTGTTTGGGTGCAGCAGGATTTGGCAGGGGAGTTGATTTGCTGCTGGGGTCCAAAGAGGAAGCTGCCCCAGCAGCAGCAGCAGCAGCAGCAGCAGGTGCAGCAGACGCAACAGAGGCGGAAGGAACTGCGGGAGATGCTGCTCTGCAGATGATGCCCCGCGTGCTGCAGCAGAAGCAGCAGAAGCAGCAGAAGCAGCAAGTGAAAAAGGAGGAAGACAGCTCCAAAGAGACCCCCTCTCAACAAGCAGCAGCAGCAGCTGCAGCAACAAAAGAGGAAACGGAGCAGCAACCTGCTGCCGCTGCAGCTAAGCCTCCAGGGGCAGCAGAAGGCGCAGCAGCAGCAGCAAGTGATAAGTTCTTGACTTCCATGTTTACACTTTACGATTCGGACGAAGAAGAAGAAACAAAAGCAGCAGAAACAACTGCCAGCAGCAGCAGCAGTAGCAGCAGCAGTAGCACCAGCAGTAGCAGCAGCAGCAGCAGCACTGGAGAGGCAAGAAGTAGCTCTGGATCATCGTGGGCACCGAAGGCAGCAACGGCAGAAGCAACAGCTGAAGCAGCAGCAGCAGCAGCCGCAGATGAGGCAGCCGCAGAACGGGCAGCAGCAGAAGCAGCAGCAGCAGAAGAAGCAGCAGCAGCAGCAAGTCGGTATTGGGAATACAGGGAGGAGGATGCTGCTGTAGAAGAGTTAGGCATAGAGAAGACGTTGCTTGAAAAGTCGGGGATTTCGACGGCAGAGGTAAGGGTTTAGGGTTTAGGGTTTAGGGTTTAGGGTTTAGGGTTCAGCGTTTAGGGTTTAGGGTTTAGGGTTTAGGGTTTGGGGTTTAGGACTGAGGCTTCTGTGTGCAGCTGCGTGACTTGCGGCGCATGGGCGCCACTTCGGTGTTAGGTGCTACTCTGCAGAACCCCGACTGGTAAGCCCTAAACTCTAAACCCTAAACCCTAGCTTTAAACCTAAGCGCTAAACCCTAAACCCTAGCGTTTTCCCCTAGCCCTAAACCCTAGGCCTAGTCCCTGTTAGCTCTGCACCGCAAACCCTAACCCTAAACCGTAGCCTGGAACCCAAACCCTAGCTTGACACCGCTGCCCCAAGCCCTAAACCCCAGCCCTAAACCCTAAACCCTAGTCTGTATCGCAGAGCCCGTCTGCGTCGAAGTGCAACAAGGCTGCTGCTGCTGCCGCTGCTGCTGCTGCTGCTGTGCTGCAGGCACCTGACCGCGCAGGCAGGGCCCCAGAAAAAAGCAAAACTTCGTTTGGCCACAAAAGTGTGGAGTGCAAAAGATAGGGCAATTACGGAAACCCTAGAGCCCAAAGTCATGCAGAAGAGGAAGCACCAGGTCGGCGAGGGTTTAGGGTTTAGGGTTTAGGGTTTAGGGTTTGGGGCTGCAGAGCCTGCGGGTGCGGCCGCAGGCAGCGGGCGGGCTTGTGCACGGGTAGGCAGGACTCACATGCCTCGCTAGGGTTTAGGCCCTGGGGTGCAGAGTTTAGGGTTTAGGGTTTAGGGTTTAGGGTTTTGCTTGGGGTGCTGCAGATCAACTGGCTGGCTGCGGAGGCGCACGACAAGGAAATGGAGCTGCTGGAACTGACGGCGAGGACTCGCCAGACGAAATACCAAACGGCAATGAAGTATGGCTGGTGACTGCGGTGTCTAGACACCTTCTGGGGTGTCTGGACACCTCGTGGGGTGTCTAGACACCTTCTGGGGTGTCTGGACACCTCGTGGGGTGTCTGGACATCTCGTGGGGTGACTAGACAACTCCTGCGGTGTCTGGACATTTCGTGGGGTGTCTGGACATCTCTTGGGGTGTCTGGACACCTTGTGGGGTGTCTGAACACCTTCTGCCGTGTCTGGACACCTCGTGGGGTGTCTGGACACCTCGTGGGGTGTGTGAACATCTCGTGGAGTGTCTGCCTGTAGAGCTCGTGGGGTGTCTGGACATCTCGTGAGGTGTCTGTACTGCTGGTGAGGTGTCTGTACACCTCATGGAGTGTCTGTACGGCTCAAGCGAGGCACACAGCCGCGGGGTGTATGTACACCTCATGGTCGACAGCCGTCAAGTGCGGCTGCTGCCCGCTCGCGGTGTCTGTACAGCTGGCGGGCCCCCAACTGCGAACTTTCTGGGGTGTATGTACACCTGCCCCGAAGGCGCTGCGGTGTACGTACAGCTCAGGCTGTGCGCTTAGGGCCCATTTAGTTTGTCTGGAGGGCCCATCGAGAGCTCTTTTGATGTTTCTTTTTAAGCGAATAACTCAGACTTTTTGTAGTTTGCTCTTCGGGTGTATGTACGGGAGAGCGCAGCCGTTGCTTTCAGGTGTACATACACCTCAGCGCAGCTGGGCTGTACGTACACCGCGCATGGAGGCTTCTGTGGATTTTTCTAGAGTTTGCAGACAAGAGCATTTCTAGCGATCAGTACTTCACGAAATAATGAAATATATATAACTTAGTTTGGCATTTAATGCCCCCTCATCACTGAACTGGAAGCAAAGTGCAGCCTAATTGGACTTGAATAAAAAACCCTGAACCCGCAAAAGCAGACTAGAAAGCACACGAGTCCCCGCCCCAAACTCAGTCTCTTCGGGCACAAAATGGCGTCTTCCCTGTTGCCACAAATTGCAAACTCCATTCCATTCGTTCTGGGGTGTACGTACACCTGGGGTCGGGGTGTACGTACACCTCAGCCCTGAGGTGTACATACACCCCAGAGCGCAGCAGCAGCTACACTACCTGCTCGCGCCGGTCCGTTTCTTCTCGAGTTCTTCCCCGACAGACCCACCAACAAAACAGCAGCAGCGCGCCAGGCTGCTGCTGCTGC